GAATGTATATTTTTGCTCTATTTCATAAAGTATGAAATCTTGCTCTGATGATGTCTGTCACAGTACAGACGAAAGTTTAGCATAGTATAATCGGGGTCGCAGGACGGTGAGCCAAGAACTGCTTCGCACAATTCAAGTCTTTCTTACGCGACAACCTTTCTTCGGTTTCCGGTAAGATCACATCACGAATTCCTTCCAACCAACTTTCCCTTCGAAATGGAGAGTCATGTCACATTACGGATAGAAGCACGATAGATGTGGCGGAGACTAGAGCTAGTTGGCTAATAGTAGACGTGTTTGATGACATACACGATCCATGAAGCAAAGGCTTAACGATGATAATTACTCGGTACCTATACCTTTAAGTTAATTTCCCATTCATCTTGAGAATCTAGACTTTGTGGGCCCACTCAGTGAGATGTAAGTATACGTGCCATCAAATGCTTGAGGCGGAATGTGAGAAATAAAGCCCCGAGAAGCACAGCTAGAGTGACATGGGTCGAGTGAAAGGCCTGAACGAGGGAGATGGATTTAGGAGACAGATGTCATGGGTCCTACTCTGATAGGACCTATGGCAAGAGGATTGCGGACAAATATGACAGATTCTGATAAACATTCCCAGCATAAGGGTGAGGGGGGTGAGGGGGTGAGGAAGCTAGTGTAGGGTGTGGAGAATTATCATGAAATCCGCTCAAAAAGGCACACAATACCATTTTTAAATAGGCAATTAAGAAATTGTGATAGTGGAGGGGTAATAGGAGGATATAAGATTTGTGAATAGTCCAAAGCAGAATGATAGATACCACAACTGCTTAGCAGATAATTGTTCATCTGATAGACACCCCCTGTCTCTTTGACAAGTAGTAGTGTGATGGTAAGAATGCTAAGAACATCTAAAAATGTACCACGTCTATAGTCCGACTCAAGAAATCATCATGTATACTATGGACTCCGGACTAGGTACTTTATTCTAGGTCTTCCTGCCAATATGACCAAGTTGAGAAAACAAGGTCAAACAACTACTTTACAACTAAAGGAGACCGCGACCATATAAAATGCAACACTATCTTGATCTTCCTACCTTCGATCCCTGTTTAACTTCTCACCTGTTCTGACGAGTAAAACAATATTCAATGAAAATATGAAGACCAAGATGGTGTGGCCCTCGGTATAGTCGTAGACTCTCTTTGATTTATAGAAGTGGGTTGATTTCGTTTTCACAACGGCGTCATTTCGTCAAGACAACTTGATTAAACGCACCTTATCCGGAGTTCTCTGTCATAATAGTTATCATAATTCCCAGAATAAGACCGTGACATTGATATATTCTCAGACTTTTCGCCAGCATCGTAGTCGGCATCATCAGTAAGTCTTGCGATTCTCAGCACCAGGCTACAACTCATCAAAGAGACAAGCGAAGTCAATCCCTGACCTAAGTTCTATCGAAGGGTTGTGCTACAACTACTCTTTCTGTCCTGGTGCATCTAGCTACTCCCTACAGATCACTTCTATAGATGAAAAATAGACTGCGACCATATTTTTAAGTATGCAAGATAAATTAGTGAATAGGTAGGTAGGAAAGTATGTGCAGATTAAGTTATGTTGGTAGATAGTTAATAGAATAGGTATTCATGTATGTAGCTATGTAACGAAAAATCGAGCATGTCAGAAATATGAAGAACAATAAAAAGAAAGTCAAAAATTGTACACCAGGATAGTAAAAATGTACTGGTTACTTATGACAAAATAAGTAGTACATCGATTTCTATGGCATGCACATAGCTCTTAACAATATTAAATCCCCTGAAAAATAAGGTAACTTGCTATATCCTTAAATTCATTAATACTATAGAACACCGTGGCAATGGTTATATAGATATGGTTATGTGGCTTGAAGAGCAATTTATTTGCCTCTTAACTGGCCCGTCGGTTGTTCAAATTTCACTCGGGTTGCTGACGCGACTGAGGTGCAATCAAGCATGGATGAAAATAGCCTCTTTGGATCCATGACAAAGTTAAATTCAATGCAAAAATAAAGCCTTTGATTTATATAAGATAAAAAATCCATTGGAAGTGGTATATCTCGGCAGTTATATCTGACAACTTATACTGATAATAAGTATTAAGTTAACTAGTTACTATTAAAAAACGGGACGAGTGGGTATTCTAGGTAGATAGAAATATTAGGAGTAAAACATACAGATAGATTCTTGATCCTGACCGACAGAGAAACGAGTCCTTTTTCCAGGCCCTGTTAGCACATCGGAAATAAATTCGACTGTACCACCTTCGACGATAACATCTCTTTTTGTGCAACATCCGATGCTATCAACGTATTCGCTTGACTGCATAGCATATGTCTTTTCGCATCCTTGGGATACTAGCGGCTTGGATGACGAGGTAGTCTCATGAGATGCATCGATGATGGAGACACATTTGCTAGGGGCTGTGGCTTCCCTCCGGCATGTGGACTCAAAAGTGCAAGGAGGATACTTGCGTATAAACTGCCCGAATTCCTGGTACCTGTGGTGATTATTTCGGAGTTTAACTCGTTGGGTGTGCTGGTCAAGAGGAAGGCCAGGTGGATGGCGATGATGGCTATCAAAGGTTCTGGCTGATACATTTGGCAATTCCGGGGAATGGACAGTTGTAATCGTCTGAGAGTTCACAAGATGAGGACGTCTGAATATAACGGAATTTTCAGGGCCTGTTTCCGATGCGCCAGGGCTATAAGTATTTACATACAATATCGTATATATGTTAGCGTGATTAACCGGAAGAAGGAAAACAGAAGAAAAGCTAATGAAGAAAACTAAGTAAATGGTGACCATCAAATAAAGAAAGGGAATCCAGTGAGCCCGATGAAATGTGCTAAAATTTTATAAAACAGGGTTTTTGAAGGAACCATAACACGTTTCAAACCAATTTGACAAGCTCATTAACAATATTTCCACATTCCAAAAGAATTCAAATTGGGAAAGATCCTTGTCGGAATTTAATTGAAAAACCTAACTACGAATTGAGCACAATAATAAAACTAGTGGCGTATATAAAATATATTCTGCTTTATCAGAATAAAGTTTAAGCTGATATTGTGGAGCAGAAATTGAATACTCACTAGAAACATGAAAATAACAGGCTTTAAAAGCATAACGAGAAAACAGACACTGCTGTTCGTGACATGAATTAGTTGCGACAGAAATTCGAGACAAT